GTAACCAGGCTTCATTCAGTCCGCCTCAGCTCCACAGACACTCTACCTCTTTGCCCAGTTTTAGATTAGCCAGGAGCCGGCAGAGTCAGGACTGCCAAGACAGTGACGGCCAACCACACTGAGCTTCACAACAGTTCTTCTCAGTCTATGGATAACACCAATGATGTTAAAAGCAATTTCAATGTAAGATAAAAGAAATTAAAAATATTAAAGAATAAGTAAAATGAAGGGTTCCTTTTACCACATTTTGTCCACTAGAAGGCCACCCAGTCCTGATTTTGCCCAGTGGTTGTTGTCCCGAGACTGACATTTTTATATTGTTTTATTGTATTGTTTATAATGGGGACAGCAACTGCCTCAGCCAGTCAATGTTTGCTGTGTCATCACAGAGCCCTGCAACCAATAATACAAAAAAAAAGACAAAGAGGTGCAAATTAACAACATGAGACCAACATGAAACCTTTCAAATTTTTGTTTTAGTTATAATCATTATATTACCTTGCACAGGCTGAATATATGACACATGTTTACATTGTAATCAATATGTATCTATCTATCTAATAAATATATTTGCATTTTCCACCATGGAAGTAGAGCTAAGAGTTAGCTAGGTTGCTACCAGCAAAGCTGATGATGATTGCTGTCTTTATGGCTAGAATCATCTCAAACAAACATTTTATTTATGTTGATATTTAAACAGCTCTAGCTAAATTTTTAGGTTAAGCTAACTAAGTGTAAACTTTCCTCCGTTATTGATGTTGGTAGAGCTTATAAGGTAGTGACACAATTATATGGGCAATGCTGCAGGCAACAAGCAACAGTGAGAGCTAGGGTCACAAATCTATCCAATATGCTGAGGCAACTCCTAAGGTACTGTTGAACATCAGAGGTTGCTCATAATATTGCTTTAACCCTAACCCAAGGATCGTGACAGCTTGGGTTACTGGCAATTTTTAGGCAATATTGCAAAAGCAAATATCTCAACACTTTAATTCATGTAGCAGGTATGTTGTCATATCATGTTGTCCAAAACATATTTTCTGTTACGTTGTTGTTTTTAAGGCCATAGTATGAATGTCGACCTCAAGATCCAGATTCTCCATCTAAAGTTCAGTTTAGTTATAAGTTCTGACTGGTCCCCGTGCAAAAAGACACATTGGTCAGAAGTACTCCTCCGAGTAGAGTCAAACCGCTAGCAATTAAAAATGAGACATCTGTCAGGCATTCATGGTCTCATTCAGCTCTTTGATACTTCTGCCCCTCAGCTTCAGAGCCAAGTGAACATAAGGCACACACACTATTGCTGTAGAAAAAAATGCCTCGTGCACACTTATTATGGTTGAATAAAGGAATATAAATGAACCAGTTTCTTTATTAAAAAATGGTTTTACTTGAAACTTTAATTTTGGGAAAAAAATATCAAAGATGAAATGCTGCAAAGATGCTGCACAGAAAAAAGAAATCCCCAAAGGATGAACTCATGAATTTTGGACAGTGAGTTGTAGCACCACCCTCAGCGTACGATTACTGAAAGCAGTTCTGATAATAAAACATGCTGACTGAAATTAAATTTGCAAAGCACAGTTTGATTAGGGTTTATGCACAAAAACTACTTAGGTAGGTTTCGGAAAAGATTGTAAGTTACATTATATAGGCTACCTGAAGTAACTGAATAAAGTTCTAACATAACATACTTGACGTAACTTATGTACATTTATGCTTTTAAATGATTGACTTTTGGTTTCTTGAACAGCAGTTTCCTGTGTTCGTTTGAGCCTTCCATCCACCCCACCACCTCCACAGTGGACTTCCTTTTGTTTTATACTATGTCACCTGATGGCAGCACATCCAGAAATGACATTGGAGGGATACCATCCGCCTCAGTTCTCTTTATACATTCAGGTTCCTGCAGCACTCTAGTCAACTGAAATTGAATGACCAGTTCCTAACTGACACAATTTTTATTACATTTTACTGACCTCATCATCTTAGAAAGAAAAAATTTGTTTAAGCAAATAACTTGGAATAGTTTGATTGCCATTAAATATTTTTTGTTCACCTTAATCGTAATCACATTAACAAATATTTTTTTTATTTTGGCATTGGAATACTATCTATTTCAGTTTTGTAACAGTTTATTTTTGTACATAACAATACACTGTCAGTTCAACTAAATAAGTTGTTGTTAATCATCTAACATGATTGTCCCAGTGAAAGCTGACGTTGTGTGGTCTGTTTGGTGCTGTCCCTTTAAGCAGGCAGTATGACTGTGATTGTGCTGATGAGAGTGTATATCAGTGTGTATTGCTGTGGTTTGTGATGCTCCAGTGGGGCTCCGGCTCAGCAGGTAGCTCTGGTCCTGTCAGGCTGAGAGGCGTGCATTGTCTGCTCACAGACTGACCTGCACACACTGATTTCATCAACACAGCCATGCTCACACACTCTGAGCAGAGACAGCATGAGCACAGTATCTGAGCCTTTGGTCGGCAGCAGCAGGTCTCTGTCTGCAGCCAAAAGACACAAAAGTATCAGGAAGAACTCCAGAAGGATTTATTCAGCCTACCAGGACCACCAGCAGGGGTGAGTGTGCCCACTCTTTGATTTTATTTAATTTAATTTTTATTTTTTTTATTTATTTGCTTTTCTCTCTCTGTCACTCTCTGTGCTGTCATCTTTCTGAGTTTTAAATGACATCCTGTAGGTTAGACAATTAGTAATTTACTAAATCTAATCATCAGGGAAAACTACAAAGAGTTACTATGACCTGTTTTGTGAGCTCATTAATCACTAGCGGTTATCAAAGAGTTTGACTCTGTGAGTAAAATAGATATATTGATCAGTTTTTTATTAAAAATTTGCTGTAAAGAAAGAAGTGTACTGTATCTGCTTGAATACAGCTCAAAGCACAATCACTGCATCGCTCCACTTTTTAATTGTTGTGCCATCAACCATTTGGTTTAAATCCAGTGATTGCAAACATTGTTTGGTTAATGGAAAAGCTTTCTCAAAGGTCACTCTGTCTTCTTCAAAACACTATTTTATTTTCAACAGTGGAGAAGATACAAAGACTGTTACTAAAATTTACACAGGATGAAATACGGACAATGCAATTGAAGAAGAGACATGTAATATTTCTTTCTTAACGGTCATAAACACATCATTTATAATTTGCTTGTTTTTAAGATGGAGGTGCACGACATATATTATAGCCCAGAGAACATACATACGATGAAAGGTGGTAAAATTATTTTCTTTTGTAAAAAGGAAAAAGGTTTTTCGCACATGGTGTGGTCCTTGTTTTGGAATTCTGTTTTCAATCTTTTATCCCTGTGTATGCATCATTTTGTATCTTCAACTTTGTACATTAGCCAATACTAGAAAATGGAACTCACATGGTGAGAAATATACAGTGTTGATAAACACTATTAGGTTGTTAGGAAATGCATTACCATTCACTGTTGATTCTGCATTCCCTGTGTTTGTATTGTTTCTCTATTCATCTGAATTTTTTACAGGGCAAACTCAGCCAATGGAGGATGCTGTTTTGATTAACAATTAAATGAAAAAATATTTTATGAATGTACAAGTGAGGAGACAAAATGCAAAGTTGAAATGGCAAAAAGTCATTGTCCTTTATCATTGTAATTGGAATATTGTTTACCATTTAACACGCTCACACTGTACTCAGAATGTGTATCTGGTGGCTTTTCACCTGAAAGAAACATACCCACAGGTGTATTGAATTACTTACATGTTGATTGTATAAATGTGGGTGGAGAGGGGGTTTAGACAAGGAAGAGGGGTACATTTTATGTCAGCCTTCTTGTGAGATTTATTGTAAAGAAATTACATCATAAAGCTGGCTTTTGTTTGCACACGAGGCATAAAGGTGCATTTGGCCATACAGTAGTGTAGAGGACAAAAGTCCTGACTCTGTGCCAGGTCTTTATTTTCCTCATTAACATGCATTAGCTAATAATATTAAGATCCCCTCCAGATCATTTTTTTTAGGACAGAAATACTGTGCTTGGAATAAAAGTTTGTGTCTGATCTGCATAAACATCATTCTGCACTATGAACAGTCAAACATCCAAGACGTTTTCACTGGAGGGGGTCTTTAGGCTTTTGGTTTTCCATTGTGAGGAGCGGGTGGAAGTGTCAGTAAGCAGTAGATACCCGGTGTGCCTGCTGATTGCTCATCAATTAGGCTGAAAGCAAAACTACAATAAAACCAAATCCACATAAAGTTAGCTTGAAATATAATTCACTTCAGCATTACATGTTGACAACTAATCTAAATAAGTGCTAACTGATAAAGCAAAATAAGAACACCGTGTTTAGTTTGAAGTGTTTCTGTTACAATCAGTTCTTTGACTAGCATGTTCTTCAATCATCAGTCCATGAGCGCTATTAACTCAACGTAGAATAAAGTATGAAAGTATAAAAATCTGTTCATTGCTAACATTATACTTAACTAATGCAAACAGAAGTTTCTATGTTTTTATATACATTTACATTTTCTATTTGTATAGCATGGATGTGCAAGCACCGTTGCCATTATTTTTTTTATAGTATATAAGGAGCTAGTTTAAATTCATATGAAACAACTAGAAATTATAATATTGATAATAATCTAAAGATTATTTATATTTTTGACATTATGCTGTGGGCCAGAGGGAGGGGGATGGAGGGCCAAAAATGTCCTCCGGGTTGGCAGTTTGAGATCCCTGCTTTGACATCTGTTTTACCACAGATAGCTGAACTATAAATTAAGACAGTCCCAAATTGTCGAATACTGCAGCTGGTTCAGTTGTCCTCCACCTCTAAATACAATAGAAAAAGTAAAACATTGGCTAAATTAAAAAAAAGTAAAATAATAATAATAATAATAATTGATCACACAAAATTTCTGACTTTGACTCAGTGTAAATAATGTATTCAGTTTAACCTGTACTTATACTACATTCAGTGCAAACTACTTTCTGTAGGTTGAGCAAACCACTTATTTCAAGTTATCCTAATTTAAAAGAAAATAGTTGTCTTTTTTGACTGAATTTAAATAAGCCATTCAGTTCAACCTGAATTGTTTAACTCCATTTAGACCATTTTTGGTGGTTTGGAGCAAACCATTTGCTATAAATACATTTTGATCAATGACTATATGGCGCTGTAGGTATCCCTCTGATTGATAAAACAATATTTTTATAAAGTGAAACATAAGGTCACATTCATATAGTCTCTGAGACGTCATTCTTTATTTTTGTCCTTATGATGCAACAGTGCTGTTTCTCATTGTGCCCCTGTGTCTTACCCTGCAGCTCCTCAGATGATGAAGATAAAGAGGATGAGCGCGTGGACAGTAATGACCCAGAGGAGATGTTCCAGAACATTCAGTACCAGAAAGAGATCATCGCCAACATTCGGACCAGACCCTGGCCCATGAGACGCAAGCTCAAAGTCCTAAAGTACCCCCACCGTTTGTTTGTTTGTTCCCTCTGTGTCTGTGGAGTGCCAGTTCACTTCTTCTTAACCGCACACACAAAACACACAGTCTGTAAACTTGAGGAAGGCTGCTTTTCTTAATGAAAGTGCTCTGGAAATAAATACGTCACTGGATTTAAAGCGAGTGTGCCAAAACCTCAGCAGCTCACCCACCAAACCCTCCAGAGGTAACTGTGTGACTGAAATACACAGATCAACAAAGCCTTTTGAATTAGAGTCATAGAAACTACAAGCTAACAGTCTATCTAACTAATCTCTTTATTATTTTCCCACTTGTGCTGCGACCATCACTTACTTACTTACTCTGTCTCCTAAAAATGTATACTTTACAACTAAATGGTTGTATGTGGTGAATGGTGAGGACCAATCGCTGGATTCTAACACCTTAGACCAGGGTTTGTGAGTCTAAGAGACTTCAGTTTGGGGAATATGGTCATTTTGGTTGAAAGTGGGGTTAGTCATTCTAGAGAAAGAGAGTTGATTGTTTAGTCTCATCCCCAGGTCGTCAAATACCGACGTTTTGGCACTTGACAACTTGACGATTTGTTGTCAGGTTTCCTACGTGTCCTGGAAAGTTGTGGAAACTTTAATTGTAAATTAGCCCCTCACTCAGATCGCCTAGAGAAACCTAGTTTAGAGGCAAACTGTAGTCAGATCACCGGAGATGCAGCAGGAAATCAGCCGTGGTGAGAACAGCAGAAAGTGAGCTACCACGAAGTGTCCTAAAAACACTGACCACCATCACTGCATCATGAACCCTTCAACATTAAAAAAGGTAAATAAAGCCGGTAAAAAGAACATTCTCCAGGGGCGCCTGGTTAGCTCAGTAGGTAGAGCTGGTGACCCATGTACCAAGGCTGAGTCCTTGCTGCAGCGACCCAGGGTTAGAATCCGACCTGCGGCTATTTGCTGCATGTCATCCCCTCTTTCTGCCCCCCTTTCCTGTCTGTCTCCAGCTGTTCTATCAAATAAAGGCATATAAGCCGAAAAAAATATACTTTAAAAAAAACTTTCTCCAGAATGACTGACCTCACCTTTTAAATCTTGATAAACCAAAAAATTACCTCTCTCGCACTTAAAAGCATTGTTAACCCTAACCCTTTTGATATTAACCAAGACCACCATCTTTTCCCAATACTGAGCAGGCACTTTGGATGCCTAAACATTAGGGTTGAGAGAGTACTCAGCTGAAACAAGTATCATCAGAGGAAAATGTGTCAATATAACATATTATATGTAATAATATAACATACACATACATACATACATTTTACATACAGTACATACATACAATAAATATAGCAACTGCAAATATTGCAACTTAGAGGCCTATTTAAGAATAAGTTGTGTACATGTTGATTCATTCATTTGTTACCTCCATTTAAAGCCCATGAAAGGAACTTTCATTTTGTGTTGATTCTGGTGGGCCATGTGGACAAAATTGGTAGTGGTTCACCACCTTGTTTTATTGAAGAAAAATCTAAACAAATGTGACGCAGTGGCAGGCATTAATAACTATATAGAAATACCCAATCTTCTCACTGATGGTCTTGTTTATTTACAATATGTAGTATGTATTTAGACGTTATTTACAAAATGCCTTGTAGGACGTTTAACTGCATATTCCTAATTGATATAGGCAGAAGTCATATAAACATGTATATGGTAAGGTTGTTTCTATGAGACATTGGTGTGAGACGGCTTGTGTTAATGTAACACTGAGGTTTTGAATTTAATTGTATTTTTAGATATATTTCGATTTTCACTAGTATATAACCATTTACTAGAGTTTCACCATTTACCACAAACAGCTCTGTGGAAATGGCTTAACGTATGTTCTGCCAGGTGTCTAAATTCCACATGTGCCTTGTGAAAGTCCACAATTTTAAACAAGCTTATCCCTAAGTGTTCTGATCACACCCACACATTTGCCTAAATGTAATTAGACTGGTAGATAGAGAACCAACTGAGCCAGAGAGAACCACAGTAGATAGAGAGCTTCTGAGATGTGCTGAGTATGTGCCATGGATAACAGGTTTTATATGGGCAGTTTGTTATTACCGCAGGGGTTTTACTACCATCATCAGGGATGGGATGCAAGTCTGCGTTTTTACACCCTCTTTAATCTCAGGCTGAATGTCTGTGATTACTCCCGCTGCAATAGCAGCTCGTATTTCTCTTCACAAATCAGTGATTCTTACCTGGATTTTGTGACTAATTTTAGTTGGAGCTATTCTCGGAACGTTGACTCAGCTTCTCACACTAACTAGTGGCATGATGTCACAAAATAAAACTGTGTGTGTTTGACAATTGTAAAAGCTACAGTTGTTTTCCCCTGGAGAGTGTGTAAAGTGCATGTTCAGTGTCTTCATTGAATACATGGCTCATAGCCCTCTGAATTGCCCTGTGCTATGGCAGGATTAGCAAGTTTCACTACCTTATACAGTTTATTACAGTTGATTTTAATGTGGCCAGTCTGCTGTGACTGGTTTTAGAGGAATCCTGGTTTACTAGTTTGCACTATCATTTAAAAACATGAATAATATATGTGAAGTATTAGGCGTACACATGTTAGAATACACATATTAGCCACCTTTAAACCACAGAACACTGTAACATAAGAAAAATACAATCTCACAGTGATATGATCTGGAATAAATGTATGACAGTTACACCCGTAACATATGATACCATCTGGTGCATAAAACAGAACAAATAATGATGATAACAAGAATTAGCAACACATAGAGCATACAGAACACACAGTCAAAGGGAGACATTTTGTTCTAAATGATTTTTAAAGGGATTTTGGGAAACACACATTCAAACATTTACCTAACAGACTAGATTTCATCTGGCTCAAGGTGTCATCATGTGACCCAAGTGTGGAGCTTAAGTCACAAGACCACTACTGTAATTGCGTTGAGGATGTTTTGGCACACATACTGTTCCCAAAGTCAAGAACAGACTGTCATACTCAAATCTCATGTCTGTGTTTTAAATAAGTAGCTGAGTCAAGATGTTTAGCCTACCTTATCATCGAGGTTTGTTTTTGAACTTTGGACAGAGCACGCTAGCTGTCTTTATGTGTAGTTGTTAAAATTTTCATCTCACTAAACATATTAGCACCCAATATTGAACTACTACTTTAAAGATATGCTTGCAGAATTTTTATTTATCCTCTACATGATATGCTGGCTTGGTTTTTTTTATCTCAATACTATAAGATCTGTGTCTTGTGGTGTTTAATTAAAATTATTGGCAGTAAAAATGTAAGGTAAAACTATTATGTTAATTAATAAGCAGTTAGTTAGTTAGTTAGTTAGTTAGTAGGGATTTATTAATTAATAATTAATTAAGATTTATTTGAATTTATTAAAAAGCATTGCTTCCAGGATTAGTGAAATTATATATGCTAATAAAAAACTTATTTATTTATATAAGTACTAAAAAAATCAACAACCAAAGCTTAGTAAAGGTAACAACAAGGTAAGTTAGTTAAACTGAATAAAATTAAATATATGATATGATAATGTTTGTAATGATATAATAAACAATTCTAAGAAGCTCTTTTATTAACATTGTTAAAGGTCCAGTGTGTAGGATTTAGTGGCATCTAGCAGTTCAGTTGCAGATTGTAAGTCCCTGCTTTCAGCCTCCCAAGCATGAAGGAGAAACTAAAAAAAAGAAAATTGAATTGAATTGAATTG